AATATTAAAGTATTCAGAAGAAAAAAGCGACAAATTATGTAAAATCCTGCACCTTCTACTTGTTTGTACAATTTTCCCTCCGTTACTTTTCCCTCCGTTACCATGACCTTTCTTAATAAAAAATCTCATGACTCAAAAAGTAAGAGGTTTTTCAACCTAATCTTGTACCATATGGTAGAAAACTATATGAAGCAAATATTCAAACCAGTTTGTTAAGGATATGTAAGTGAGAACCAAGAGTTATCACTGTTTGGATTTATTGCCCAAAAAGTGCTGCATATTTCATTCCCTCCGTTACCGACATGAGTTTTTAAATTTTTTGTCAACAACTTGACAGAATATCACAGGTTTAACTTTACCCTGTTGGAGTGTAACTCTTTCCTACATTCTGATACTTTACTTATTTCAATAGTTCCTTTCTGAATAAGAGTTTGAATTTATTTTATTTATTTATTTGAATGTAAATCTGCCCCTGTTTCCCTCCGTTACCACTTGACCAGACCCATTATAACATTTTAGATTCTAAAGCAGTGTAATATGGGACATTTAACTTAATGGATCTGATAGAAGCTGTGCACTTTATAAAACTGACCAGGAGGATACTGATAAATGGTTGCCTTTATAATACACACAACTTTCCAAAACGCAGAGAACAGAGAAATATGAGGCAGACAAGTTCAAATCCAATATAGCTCCTCCTGATAACAACCCTAATGTTGAGTTAATTCTTAATTACAAAAAACATTGTTGTGTTGTTTAAGCTCTAACTGGCGTTTAGCCAATCAGAAAGCAGAATAAGTCTCACATTTGGGTTGCCAGTTTCAATGCTGGTTTAAACCTAAAAATACTCCCTCTGCCAATCATGAATATTGCCAGTGCAGCCTCGGCAGCTCAGTGAATTCTGGAGGTTGTGAGCTTTCACATGACATTGTATCTGCAGGTTAAAGGTGCACTGTGTAACTTTTCTAATAGAGGGTCAGTCACCTGCTAGTCCTTTATTGCTTTGCCTGGAAATTCCACAGAATGTCATTAAGGCCACGTTTATATGATGAACTGATGTCTGAACAGAAGACGCAAAAGTGACGTCGCATCTTCACTTTTTATTCTGCGTTTAGACGAGGAAATCTGCGTGCACACGGTGACGCAAAAGTGTGCGGAATACATACCAGGTTTCTGTGTACAGTACTGTATGTATGTGACGTAAATGTGTACACGACGTGAGCAGATCTGTCCAGAGTTTTGCGTCTTGGGCAGTGTAGACGGAAACAGTACGGCGTAGCAGTATTCAACTTTTCCACTCTGGAGGTGGTTTCAGATTTTTGTGTTTTTAAGCCCCAAAAACACCGTCACCGTCTATCCAAACGAAAAGGCACAGAAAATTCCGAAATAAAATATTTTGTGAAACTTTTCGTGAACTAAACAGGCCCTTTCGAATTGTTTTTATTTATCTCCACTGGTGATACACATGTGCTGCTAATACAGGCCAAGTTACAGGTCAGATCTATGGAGTGGCAATCCCACTCTCAGTAACAATGCACATTTTTCATTGTAGTTTCACAATAAACACATCTGTATTTGAATAAATGCAAAACAGATAAGTATAACACCATACTGTGGAACATTACAGGCAAAGCACCGTAATTTCTGGACTATTGAGCGCACCTGAATATAAGCCGATCAACTAAATCTGAACTAAATTTTAAAATTGTACATATATAAGCTGCAGGTGTCCACGTCCTCAAGAACATTTTCAAGTTCGGGCCATCTACTTTTATCGCCTCTGAAAACCTATGTCGTCCTTTTGCTTTGAGTCAGTTTGTCACGTTGCCGTCGCCAAAATCTCACCATCGTCTCACTGATGCCGAGTTCACGTGCAGCAGCTCTGTTTCCTTCTTCCACAGCCACATCTGTTACCGTCAACTTAAAACCTGCATCGTCCGCATTTCCCCGTGTGATTTTCCATGAGGAGGGTGTGTGCATGAAGCGCAAAATAACTGTTCAAAACACAATCAGACTGGACTCTTCCTCGGCGCATCACCCCACGCTCTACTGCACATGTCTCCTGCAGAAAGAGCCGCTGTCCTGTCTGTATCATGTCAGAGTCTTGTAGGATTTCAGTAGATTTCAGGCTCTCCCAGGGACGAGGTATGAGTGGATGTGCGGCTACAGAACTTTGAGACGTTTCTTTTCGTCATTTACGCACTCAGCTGCATCATAACTTATTTTATTACACAGCGATAAACTATTTGAGTGCACTGACAACATCTCTAGTGAAGGCCGTAACAAATAATAAATTGTCGTGAGTGTACCACATGCATATATTAAATCCTGAAATCATATATTTGTTTGAATAGCTAATGCTTAACCAGTGAAATCTGATATATGTGTTTAAAGATACTGCTGTGTAGGTTGTGTCTTTTTAAAGGTTGTATGGAGGATTTTTTGTTTTGTTTCAAATTGTCATCAAAAGTTTAAAATACCATTAGAGAGACGCAGCAGCCTTGTAATTACGATGACCCAAAAAAAAAATAAATAAAATCTATCAACTGTGAATGTGTTGAGGCCAGATAAACATCAGCCAATAGAAAACGAGGCTGCCTCTTTATCTATTGGCTGTTAGGTCGTCAATCAAACTCCCTACGTTTCTAGTGTAACTGACTCGTCGGCGCTCGGGGATTATGTGGTTTACGCAGCGGTTCTTAGAGGCTTTTTCAAACTGTCGCTTCCTCACAAATCGCACAAAGTTTGTTAAGATGGCGGACGAGAATCCACGACCGGTTCGCCGCCAAAGAAAGTCCGTTTTTGAGGTTTGAAAGAAGAAGAGAAGGGGAAAAGGAGCGAAGACAAACTGAGGTGATTTTTGGAGATTCCTTCCAGCGACGGCGCGAATGAAGCAGACGAAGGGTCTAAAAACTAAAGACGCGTCGGTCGCTAAATTATTTCTAGACAGGTCACTTCAACGGTAATTCTGAACACGCACTGGATGTAAACAAGCGTGATTTCTAGAGTAAAGAGGCGGGAGGAGGTGTTTCTACTGAGAGAAGGTGGTGTCACGCATGCACAACATTTGAAAAAGGACTGTCGCTGTATTTCACTTCCCTTAAAAAATCCTCTATACAACCTTTAAGGAAATTCTTTACAGAGCAGCTGATGTGGGGTCATCCTGGCTGGCACCAAACCTAAATAGATCTGGTCATTCCCATAAACGGAAAGGCTTCAAGGAGGATCCAAGGCGTGAACCTGATCAACATATCATTATGCATATTTCTGTGAATGTATATTTACTGGGTTAAGGGACAGACGCAGGTGTTCAGACTGCCTGGTTGTAAGTCCTGTGTAGAATAGACCATCAGGGACAGTGGTTTGACCCAGAGTTCTGTATTAGAATTATATTGAATAGGGAATACATTTTTGTGATTATTTTCTACACTTGGAACACGCCAGTAGTGCTTCAACTTCATGTGAACCCTAGATCCGTGTGTTAACCGCACAGACAGCTGCGCTTTCTGTACTCAGGCTGCGCGCATCTGCTGTGTTGCCAAACCATAGACTGTAAATATGAATGGACAATGTGCCAAACAAATAATCCGTCCATATATTAGCAGCATCGCAGGGTTGAAAGTGTGAGAAAAAAGTAGCGGCTTATAGTCTGGAAATTATGTTAAAACCAAAAAGTGACATTATCTTTAACTCTTTCCCCCCCGGACGCCGACTAGGAACAACCCATACATATGTTACTAGTTCTGCCCATAGAGCATAACTGCATAAAAGAAAACAGACTTCCACGAGTGATTATAAATTAATTTTACACTCATGAACTTAATTGTAACACAGACATATTTGTATCTCTGGAAACCTTAGACTCTGAACTCTTCATTTATGGATGTTTAAATGTGATTCAACTCATTTACAGGTGTATAACAGCTCACTGAAAATGAGAGTTTACCTGGTCAGGTGCAAAATCGAAAACAAAAAACTACATTCAGCATTTGATATCTGCATGTTCTGAGTACTATATTCATAAAAAATTAAAAAATATACTTTGTCAAAGTATTTAAACAGATTTCATATCACCAGATACAGTATAGCCAAGTGTGCACCTGTTTTTACCTGTTGTTCACCTGTGTGCACCTAATTCATTTTTTCCATTTAGCTTATTCAACTTATTTAATTTATTCAACTAATTCAGCTTATTATAATATAATAATATAATAATAAAACTCTTCCCCGTCAGTGTGTGTCCAGTATTTGTCATCTTGGTTATTTTCTCGTGTGCAGAGCTCCACATAAGCGTTTTTTCTGTAGCGATTCTGTTATACTTCGCATCTTGGAAAAAAAGACTGAAATATTTTAAAGGACTGGCCTGAGCAACATCCAGATTTCAGGGCAATTTTGGTTCATAATCGAGTATAAAGCTCAGATAGTTTGTTTGGACATCGCAGGACTCCACACAGACGCATCAGCTGCATTCTCATCTTCGTAAGTTTCACTCTCTGTAAGTCCGTCGCTGTCGCTGTTTTCCACTTTATAATCAACTTCCTCATCACTTTGAAATCAATAAAAGTCACTTTCTCTAAACTTATCCATAAAATACGTCCACTCCTCATTATTTCTAAAACTCTGTGCCGCGATCTTTCCATTGCACGTGTTTCGTGTTGTGTTTTTTCCGGAAGCTACCATCGTCACTACTTCGATTAACTTCGGAAAAAATCGGCGAAAACATATCCTTGAATCCTATTGGTCAGTCTAGTGTGGGTTGTAGTGGCCCCACCGATCACAGTCTCTGTTTAAATGTGAAAAACCGAGCCGTTTCTAAAGGTCGTCAAATCACGTCTTTAGTGACACAGCGGAGGTGTCAAAAGTCGTCATTAAGGAAACAGGGCGGTCGTCAAATGTCGTCTTCATGGGGGAAAGAGTTAAGCCTAGAGGAGCCCAGGATACATACAGTTCTTCAATGCGTATGAATAAATTAAATGTAATAAATGTGGGTTCACACTCACTTCTTGCTGCTGGTCTGTTTGCCCTGAGCCGCGCAGCTGTAGTTCCCCAACTGAGCTCCAAACCTCAGGGACAGAGACGTGTCACAGTCGTCCACACTCACCACCGCCATCTTCTCGTCGGAGGGACCCTGAGCCTCCCCGATGGGACTGCGACGGGGCTGGGCACAGGCAGGGGCGAAAGAAGAGATCACTGTTAGAAATAAAAAGTATGTGATAGTGTGGGGGCAGTGTGGGGGAAACAGGAGGAGGGGAGGTGCTGGGACGTCAGGCTGGAGAAAAGTGAAGGTTTAGACACAAGGTTTGTTAAACGTTTTATTATATTTATGCAGATTTTGGTTCACTGATTTAGTCAATGACCACTGCAGGACTAAACCAGGTCTAATCCAGGTTCAACCCAGAAATAAATCAGGTCCAAAGCGGAACTAACCCAGGTCTAACCCAGAAAAAAGTCAGAACTAAGCCAAGACTAAACCAGGTCTAACCCAGAAAAAAATCAGGACTAAACTAGGACTAAACTAAGCCTAACCCAGGATGTTTAACCCAGGACTAAATCAGGGACTAACCCAGGACTAAGACAGAAATAAATCAGGTCTAAACCAAGTCTAACCCAGAAATAAACCAAGACTAAACCAGGTCTAACCCAGAAATAAATCAGGTCTAAACCAGAACTTAACTGAGTCTAACCCAGGATGTTTAACCCAGGACTAAACCAGGACTAAACTAGGACTAAGCCAGGACTAAGAGAGGAATAAACTGGGACTAAACCAGGTCTAACCCAAAACTAAAACATGTTTAAACCAAGACTAAAATGAGCCTAACCCAGGCTGAACCCATGTTTAACCCAGGACTAAATCAAGACTAAACCAGGACTAAGCCAGGACAAAGCGAGTCCTAAAACAGGACTAAACTGGGACTAAACTGGGACTAAACCAGGTCTAACCCAAAACTAAATCAGGTCTAAAACAGAACTAAACAAGGTCCTACCCAGAACTATACTAGGTCTAAACCAGGACTAACCTAGGTTAAACCCAGAAACCGGGACTAAGCAAAGCCTAAAACAGGAGTAAACCAGGACTAAACTGAGTCTAACCCAGGCTGAACCCATGTTTAACCCAGGACTAAATCAGGACTAAGCAAGGCCTAAAACAGGACTAAACTGGGACTAAACTAGGTCTAACCTAAAACTAAATCATGTTTAAACCAGGACTAAAATGAGCCTAACCCATGCTGAACCCATATTTGATCCAGGACTAACTCAAGACTAAACCAGGTCTAAGCCAAGACTATGGTAGGACTAATCTAGGCCTAAAACAGGACTAAACTAGGACTAAACCAGTCTAAAACAGAACTAAATCAGGTCTAAACCAGGTCTAAACCAGGACTAAACCAGGACTAAACCAGGAACTAAACCAGGACTTAAACCAGGTAAATCAGGTCTAAACCAGGTCTAACCCAGAAATAAATGAGGTCTAAACCAAGGACTAACCCAGGACTAAACTAGGTCTAACCCAGAAAAAAAATCAGGACTAAACCAGAACTAAACTGAGTCTAACCCAGGTTGAACCCAGGGTTAACCCAGGACTAAACCAGGACTAAACCAGGACTAAACCAGGACTAAACCACCACATGAACACTTCAGGAGAGCTGCAGTTTTGGGGATGATAAGTGTTAATTCCTTATTCTTTTTCTGGTTAGAAAAAAGAACAATTGATTAAATCCGGTTTGAACTTTGATTTTAAAAGTGCAGTAATCAAGTAATTGAATGAAATCCTAAACTATATTCAAATTTCTTTCTTTTCTGGTGAATAATTGAGCTTGGAAGATTTTTTAAAAAATGGGGTTTAAAAAAGAATAATAATTTTGGTTTATGAAAATAAATTAAATCTAGTCAAATTACTCAAAGCAAGTAACAGTGTGTAAAAATAATTTGGTTAGCATGCTAGTGTATGTAAAACAGCTTTAATATGAAACCAGGACTAAACCAGGACTAAACCAGGTCTAAACCAGGTCTAAACCAGGTCTAAACCAGGACTAAACCAGGACTAAACAAGGTCTAAACCAGGTCTAAACCAGGTCTAAACCAGGACTAAACCAGGTCTAAACCAGGACTAAACCAGGACTAAACCAGGACTAAACCAGGACTAAACCAGGACTAAACCAGGACTAAACCAGGTAAACCAGGACTAAACCAGGAAACCCAGGACTAAACCAGGACTAAACCAGGTCTAAACCAGGACTAAACCAGGTCTAAACCAGGACTAAACCAGGACTAAACCAGGTAAACTAAACCAGGACTAAACCAGGACTAAACCAGGACTAAACCAGGTAAACCAGGTGGGGACTAAACCAGGTCTAAACCAGGTCTAAACCAGGAAATAAACCAGGTCTAAACCAGGACTAAACTAAACCAGGACCAAACCAGGTCTAAACCAGGAAATAAACCAGGTCTAAACCAGGTCTAAACCAGGACTAAACCAGGTAAACCAGGTCTAAACCAGGACTAAACCAGGACTAAACCAGGACTAAACCAGGTCTAAACCAGGACTAAACCAGGACTAAACCAGGACTAAACCAGGTCTAAACCAGGACTAAACCAGGTAAACCAGGACTAAACCAGGTCTAAACCAGGTCTAAACCAGGAAACCAGGATAAATCAGGTCTAAACCAGGACTAAACCAGGTCTAAACCAGGAAAACCAGGTAAACCAGGACTAAACCAAGGTCTAAACCAGGACTAAACCAGGTCTAAATCAGGTCTAAACCAGGACAGGAAATAAACCAGGTCTAAAACAGGACTAAACCAGGTCTAACCAAGGACTAAACAAGGTCTAAACCAGGAACAAACCAGGTCTAATCCAGGTATAAACCAGGTCTAAACCAGGTCTAGCCCCAGTCTAGCCCCAGTCTAAACCAGGTCTAAACCAGGACTAAACCAGGTCTAAACCAGGTTTAACCCAGAAATAAACCAGGACTAAACAAGGACTAAAACAGGTCTAACCCAGGACGAGCCCAAGATTAAACCAGTTTTAACTCAAGAATAAACCAGGTCTAAATCAGGACCAAACCAGGTCTAACCAAGAACTACACCAGGTCTAAACCAGGTCTAAACCAGGTCTAACCCAGAAATAAACCAGGTCTAATCAAGAACTAAACCAGGTCTAACCCAGTGCTTCAATAAACACTGGAGGAACTGTCTATTTTCCTTCGACACACAGCACCACATCAATAAAATAATGATCTAAACTAACTCTGCCTCTAAACATGTTTCTTGGAAGCGTTTGTTGACATTCGTGCACCACTTGGGAAGACGAGGCCGCCATTTCTGTCATGTTCTCATCCCATTTTCTGAATTATTAATACAAGAAACAGTTTGGAACCAAAACAAACCCCAAAAATACACAAAACACCGACATGCAAATTGCAGTGGGTCTAGAGGCTACACACATCACAGTGAGGTAAAAAGTACTACAAATACTAAATACTGTGTACTACTACTAAGATTAGGAAGTACTAGGGAAAAGTATTAGTACACAAAGAGGAGAGAGGTACTACTGAAGTGTTCTAGGATTATATGAGCTGCAAATACTCACAGAACGGAAAGCCGGCTGAGGACAAAACAGCATAAGTTAAATGAAATATAAAAATATATTTAATTTTATAATGAATTTGTGTCATTTGTAAAATAAGGGAGAGGTTGTGGTGCAGTTGGTTTAGCATACGCCCACCAACCAGAGAGCCAGTAGTTCAAATTTTGCCTCCTGATTGTAAACTGTTGTTGTGTCCTGAGGCAAGACACTTTGAATAATAAGAAGAGCGTCTCTGAAAGGTCCCACATGACACTATTTTCTGATGATGTTTTAATGTTGTTTTCTCATCCAAAACAGACCTGGACTTGTGTTTTGTTTCATTCACACATGTTTAAGTTCTCTGTTCCACCTTGTGATGTCATGTGGTGATACAGGAAGTGCTCCACTGTGTTTTTAAACTCCATACACCTTCACTAGAATCATCTGGATAAATTCAACCCTGGAATTGCTAATCTCTACTAAACAAATTGGTAGAAATAAATCAGGTCTAAACCAGGTCTAACCTAGAAAAAATCCGAACTAAGCCAGGACTAATCCAGGTCTAACCCAGAAATAAACCAGGCCTAAATCAGAACTAACCCAGGTCTAATCCAGAAAAAAAAATCAGGACTAAACCAGGACTTAACTGAGTCTAACCCAGGCTGAACATATGTTTAAACCAGGATTAAGCGAGGCCTAAAACAGGACTAAACTGGGACAAAACCAGGTCTAACTCAAAACCAAATCATGTTTAAACCAGGACTAAAATGAGTCTAACCCAGGCTGAACCCATGTTTAACCCAGGACTAAATGAAGACTAAGCGTGGACTAAGCAAGGCTAAGTACTAAACTGGGACTAAACTGGGACTAAACCAGGTCTAACCCAAAACCAAATCATGTTTAAACCAGGACTAAAATGAGTCTAACCCATGCTGAACCCATGTTTGACCCAGGACTAAATCAAGACTAAACCAGGACTAAACCAGGACTAATCTAGGCCTAAAACAGGACTAAACTGGGACTAAACCAGTCTAAACCTGAACTAAATCAAGTCTAAACCAGGATTAAACAAGGTCCTACACAGAACTAAACCAGGTCTAACCTAGAAATAAATTAGGTCTAAACCAAGACTAACCCATAACCCATTTGGATAAAGTCAGTCCTGGAATTGCTAATCTCTTCTAAACAAAAGAGTAAAATGTAGCTGTTGACTTGAAAATAACCACTACATGACATCACAAGGTGGAACAGAGCATTTTGAGTTTTGGAGATGGAGACAGACTAATAATAAAGCAACACTCAAACATGTGTGAGTGAAACAAAACACAACTTCAGGTGTGTTTTTGATGTAGTAACAGCATTATAAAATGGCTAAAGAGTTAAAATTACATAAGATAGGACCTTTAATGACCTACGAAGTGTCAGTGTAAAACAAATACAGTTTTATTTTTAACAAAGCTACTCATAATAATAATAATAATTGTAAAGTTTGTTGTTTTTACAGTAAATTTGAAAAATAATATTGTTAATGTCACTTGAACTAAGAAATACAAATACATTGGGCTGGTTAGAGAATGGCTCTGTAAAATATAAAAATGTAAACAAATGTACCTAGTTTTGTTTGTTTTTTTTCTTTTGTTAATTTTTTTTATTTTTATTAAACTAACCTTGTTGTAGTATCGGATGTGGACCGTGTGCCAGTCTCCGTCGCTCACTCCCCCGGGAACGAACGGGCTCACCTGGGTCGACAGCTCACCTGCGGATGTGAAAGAAATGTTATATGTGTCTGAAAACGTAAGGCAACTTAAAAAAAAAAAGAAAAGAAAGAAAGAAAAAGATGTATACCGGTAGAGTAAATAAAAACCACTTGTCCATCTTGAATCTCCAAAGCGATAAAGTCGTGTTTCTCATTGAAGCGTCCGTTGTAGAAGAGGAGACCTGTTTTCTCCAAAGTCGCAAACCTGAAAACAAAAATAATCAGACAAGATGTTTCCTTTTCTTTAGTATAAAACAACATTACAGCCTTTGTTTAGTTACTTTATACACTGTATAACATAACTACATTAAGTTTTGGAATCACACTGCAAACTTATTGTGGAAAAGTGTTGCCCTGAAAATTCTTCCAAATCTGTCGAAGTTTTTTTTTTTTTTTTTTCATATTGTCCCTGTTCCTCAAATCTCTGGACTCCGTGGCTTTTTGTTTAAGACTTTTTCCACTTTATTCTGGGCCTGCTCCTCGTCGCATGAAAAATGTATGTCGCACTCTGCACTTTTACAGCCTCAGATGAATATTTCAGGACAGACTCGGGAGGGACGCACTATTCAAGAGTGGACTCAGAAATGTGTGACGTGGGTAAAAATACACAAACCAAATTTTACTTTTTGGAAACAATTATTAACTTGTGGGGTTTAGACGACGACCACAAAATTGCATTGGCCTATGGGGTTGGACAGAGATGCGGGTAAGTTTACAATTATACTTAGGGCTGTCGCAATAGTCGCAAAAATGAATCACCGTGGTACTAAGACGTCCACCACGGTGCATGTTGGGCCACCGCAACGTGATCCGACCCAGAGTCCTGCACGGATCCATTTTTAGAGACCCGCAACCGTGATAACTCAGGACTAACCCAGGACTAACCCAGGACTAACCCAGGACTAACTCTAACAGGACTAACCCAGGACTAACTCAGGACTAACCCAGGACTAACCCAGGACTAACCCAGGACTAACCCAGGACTAACTCAGGACTAACTCAGGACTAACCCAGGACTAACCCAGGACTAACTCAGGACTAACCCAGGACTAACCCAGGACTAACCCAGGACTAACCCAGGACTAAACCCAGGACTAACCAGGACTAACCCAGGACTAACCCTAACCCGGACTAACCCAGGACTAACCCAGGACTAACCCAGGACTAACTAACCCAGGACTAACCCAGGACTAACCCAGGACTAACCCAGGACTAACCAGGACTAACTCTAGGACTAACCCAGGACTAACTAACAGGACTAACCCAGGACTAACCCAGGACTAACCAGGACTAACCCAGGACTAACCCAGGACTAACCAGGACTAAACTAACCCAGGACTAACCAGGACTAACCCTGGACTAACCCAGGACTAACCCAGGACTAACCCAGGACTAACCCAGGACTAACCCAGGACTAACCCTGGACTAACCCAGGACTAACCCAGGACTAACTAACCCAGGACTAACCCAGGACTAACCCAGGACTAACCCAGGACTAACCCAGGACTAACCCAGGACTAACTCAGGACTAACCCAGGACTAACCCTAACCGGACTAACCAGGACTAACCCAGGACTAACCCAGGACTAACTCAGGACTAACCCAGGACTAACCCAGGACTAACCCAGGACTAACCCAGGACTAACCCAGGACTAACCCAGGACTAACCCAGGACTAACTCAGGACTAACCCAGGACTAACCCAGGACTAACTCAGGACTAACCCAGGACTAACCCAGGACTAACCAGGACTAACCCAGGACTAACCCAGGACTAACCCAGGACTAACCCAGGACTAACCAGGACTAACCCTGGACTAACCCAGGACTAACCCAGGACTAACCCAGGACTAACTCAGGACTAACCCAGGACTAACCCTGGACTAACCCAGGACTAACCCAGGACTAACCCAGGACTAACCCAGGACTAACCCAGGAACTGATTTTTTCAAATGCAACTCAGGCCACGCGCTCCTAAAACCGATACATATCTGATCTTTTGACATGCAACTTCAGTCTGAACGGCCAGGTCACATTCATCCCACCTACACGTCATTCTCGGAGTCTGCTGTAGTCAATGGAGGGAAAGTGAAGTTAGCGAGTTAATTAATATTTAGGGGGATCACTGTATTTAGGCCAGATTGGAGGGGTCTTATCAGAAAGGGGCGTTTTTTTTGAGACGATGAATGATGATTGAATGAAGGCCGAGCGTGGCCACAGGAGGTCCAGACTCCGGTATCAACAAAAAAAAATTAAAGAGCCTGTAAGCCAAATACAAGAAGACTAAAGACTCAAACAAACGAAGCGGCTGTGAACGTGCAACATGTCAATTTTGCAAAGAACTGGACCGAATTTTGGGAGACAAGAACAGCGTTTAGGCTACTTCCGTAAACACTGAGCACACTCGCTGCGTTTGACTTCGTCGTGTCCTCCGATGCGCATGCAAGACTCTTTTGGGGCATTTAAATTTCACACTGGAGCTCACGTACAAGTCACCTTCAATTGGAAATGTGAACAAAAAATTGAAATCCAAATTGAGCATTAAGCCCTGCAGTCTGAACATAGCCATGGATAAGAAAATAGCGTATGGTATTTTCTGCACTATAGGGCGCTCTGGTTTATAAGGCGTCATAGAATGGTCTATTTTCGAACTTTTTCACAAATAAACCGCACCGGACTTTAAACGAAACACAACAGTTGGATGGGTGAGTTTGGTGCTTTCACGGTGACTCTGGGCTTCGTTCAGTTGTGGCGTGTAGGGAGGGTGCTGTCTGGGACCAACGGATTGTCGGCGTGTTCGCAGTGACTCAGTTGTTCTGTCGTGTCTAGAAGCGGCACATCGCGCTCGCTTTTTCGGTTCGTTCCTCCGTTCCGTTCCTCGTCGGCGTGGAGTGATGAGTGTGACTGCGGGTGTTTTTCGCTGTGCGGTCGCTGTCTGCTCCGTGCGTGTTTGCGTGCGCTGCGGGTGGTGTAGTTTACTGAAGTCGTGCTGGGACACCCGAGTATAGGGCTCTGGATTGTGGGGCGCACAGTCGTTTTTTTGATGGGGTTAGAGGCTTAAGACCGCGCCCAATAGTGTGGAAAATACAGTAATATGGGCTCTTTAGTGATCGCGTGGATATGTTGCTTTTACATTGCGTTATCAATATTTCCATTGCTTTATCAATACCATTACAGAGAGAAAATTCAATACAATTCAAAAGGACAGTGATTAGGAAATGAGTCAATGAATCCATAGTAACTAGTGAGTAACATTCAGGCATTCATTCAGTACAGACAGAGGAGGGATGGGAGGGTTGCTAAGGGCGACAGGTCAGCAGCTGTTGCCACGGTGACGGACATGATTCTGCCAAATGAGCATCAGAGCGGCGGATATAGACATACATGCATCGATTTGTGGAGGCAGACATTTGGCCAACAGTTCGGTAAAACAAGACAAAAAAAAAAAACCTTTAATTTGATGTGACGTTAAAGGAAAATATATATATTTTTTAAATATTACACTATTTTCTGATCTATGTCATAATGTTTCGTCAAAAACATGCCTGGAGTTTTGCTTTTGTTTCATTCATACATGTTTAACACACAATCCCTGAATATTTAGTCAGAGTTATGAAAATATACTGTAAATTGCACCTTGTGATGTCATGTGGTAATACAGGAAGTGCTCCACTGTGTTTTTAAACTCCACACACAGTGACTAATATCTGAATTTGGATGATTTCAACCCTTGAATTGCTTATTTCTACTGAATTAAAGGTAAAAGGTATTTGTTGACTAGAAAACTACCACTTCATGACATCACAAGGTGGAACAGAGCATTTTAAGCATTGGGGATGGAGACAGACTAATAAAAAAGGATTTCTCAAACATGTGTGAATGAAACAAAACACAACACCAGGTGTGTTTTTGATAAGGTAATAACATTATAACATGACTAAAAGTTCATAAGAACCTATTTTTCTTTAAAGAGTCGATGTTTTGCAGGATTTGTCAGAGCGCGTTTACAGATCTGTGTTGGAGAACTGCGGGGCAAGAGCAGAGTATGAGACAACAGGAAGTGGCAGATAAAAGAAGAGGAGAAATTGGATCGATTTGCTGCAGATTAAAGGCAAAAGGAGACTAAAGGGGCAGAGAATCAAAGAAATAAAACTAGAAGGTGTGAATGAGTGCTTCTTTATCCATGGCAAAAGGCAAACAGAGAGGGGGCTGTAGATGTAGTAGGAGTAGTAGTAGTGAGGGTACAAAAAGTACTGGTAAGTGGCAGTAGCAGTACAACACACAGAGAGCGATCAAAAGGACAGAGTAGCATCAGCAGTGTTCTAAGTACTATTTGGGTCTATAAAAGTTAAAATTAGACAATGTATTTTATCCATTTTTAAATTGAAAACATTATAGTCGTAGTAGTAGTTATAGTAGTAAAAGTTATAGGTGAAGTTAGGTCCAAAAACACAATAAACTATTTATATGAGCAATACTAAACCTGACTGTACATGTTTGTCCAGTTGAAATTATTAACAATTTAGTTTTGCATCCATAGACAGTAAAGAAGTGCATTAAGGCTCCAGTCAAATGAAGCTCACTGAGGCTTGCAGTTACAGTAGCAAATATGGAACAGAGATCCATATTTGGACATTTGAATGTGTGTATCATAGCAACCAAAGAGTCAATCAGAGGCAAGGCTATTGAAGGTAACACCCCTTTTCGCTCGTACTGCTGGTTTGGCAACGTGTGGACACCCAGCAAACTAACGCCAGCGGGAGTGAGCTCAGGGATAGAAGGCGCTGATTTGTCTGTTATTAATTCTCATATCTTGATTTATTAATTTGATTGATTTATTTTTTAAGATCAGGGGTTATCGAGCTTTTCAGGCAGGACTCCCAGAATAACCATTATTTCTATTATTTCTATTTAATTACTATTTGTGGCCATAACTTCTTGCCAAAACCTGATCCCGTTAGATCTCAGAAGCTAAGCAGGGCTGGGCCTGGTTAGTACTTGGATGGGAGACCACTGGAAATATCAAGTGCCACAGTGGGGCGGCAGTCACCAAAAAAAAAAAAAAAAACTGTCATTGTGTCCTTAAGCAAGGGACTTCACCCACGTTGCCTAGTACGAGAAGTGGTATGTGCATGAGTGATGGTGGTGGTCTGGTCAGGGCAGCTGTGGCTACAATAGTAACTTACCACAACCGGATGTGGAGAGAATGAATAATGTTCTGTAAAGCGTCTTTGTGACAAATGTCTGTGAAAAGCGTGATATAAATAAAAACTTACTTACTTACTTCTATCACTGTAATAAAAATTTGGGGTTGAACAAAATATTTAGATCCGTTTCAGTAATGATAATACATCTGCTATATTTGATTTTTGTGAAGAATAATTCAATCACAACTAAGATAAAATTAATAGACAGGTCGAACCTCTGCCTCAGCCCAACTACTAGTAGTAGTAGAAGTAGTAATAATAGCAGTAGAAGTAGTTTTTATGAGGATTTCTTCAGGTACCTGCAAATAAGGCACTACTTCACTCAGAAAATTACAATTCCCTCAGCCGATCAGGGTTTCTTACAAATATTTATGTCACTAATAAAATCATCATCTCCCACAAAAATAGTTTCGAAATTGTATAATGGCATCCTGTTGGGTAAGGGGGGGAGCACATATTATATCAAAGAAAAGTGGGAAAGAGAGGGAAAGTTTACAATGACAGAAGATGATTGGGAGCACATATGTCAAATCCAGTGGATCTCAACAGGGTCAAATACATGGCGTGAATTTTGTTGGAAAAACCTAATGAGATTTTTCATTACACCAGTACAAAAGAGACACCAAGGAATAGGTGATGCCTGCTGGAGATGTGGGAATGATGGGGCTAATCACTTCCATATTTTTTTGGGAATGTGGGGTCATCCAAGAATACTGGTCAGAGATTCATCAACATCTGCAGGGTGTTTTTTCATGTGTTTTCCCCCTGTCATTTATAAGTTTGTACCTTGGTAACTTAGTGTTAGACGGCTTTAGCAACACAAATAAGAGATTACTCTATATTCTACTGGCAGCAAGTAAAAAGGCAATAACAAGGAAATGGCTTAAACCTGAGCGACCAACAATTGAGAACTGGATTGACATTGTGCAAGAGATCTACATGATGGAAAAGATTTCATTTTTACTGAAAGTGCAGCTGGACTCTTTTTACAAGATGTGGACTAGGTGGACAGAATATGTAAAGCCAGTGAGATCAGACTTCATATAACACTACCTCACAGTTGCAATATTCTGTTAAATTGTGAAAGAGGCTCCCTGGCTCCCCAACCTGTTCTGAGTTTGTATATGTTTTAAAAAATTTGTTAGAGCAGGAACATGTGATTTAATTTTACACACTGCAAAATGTAATCTGCTTTTTCAATAAAAAGTTAATTTGAAAAAAAAAGAAGTAGTTTTTATATCAATAGTAACATTAGTACTTACGACAGGGATATCGACAGGTGGAACCTCTGCCTGAGCCCTCTGAACATGACGAAGGACTTGGGGGGGAAGGAGCGTGCGGTGACGGTGCAGTAGGGCTTCTCGTAGCCTCCGGCGGGACACTCACACCTGAAGCCCCCTCCTGACAGCTCTCTGCAGGTGCCCCCGTTTCTACACACGCCCGGGGCACAGCGGCCCTGACGACGGTCCAGCTCACATCGCTCACCTGCGACAGGGGAGAGAGACATGGCAATGGGGTTAATGTTCACAAAAAAGCAGGTTGGTTGCCAAAATAATCAGGACTGGGGTCTACGGAAAAAATCCAAACTATAGCCAAAGTCACATATCAGGTCTGTTGGTTTAAAGGTTGTATAGAAGATTTTCCAAGGAAAGAGAAATGCAGCGACTGTTTGTCCTTTTCCCCTTCTCTTCTTCTTTCCGCGACGTCAAAAACGGACTTTCATTCGCAATGAACTGGTCGTGAATTCTTGTCCGCCGTCACAACAAACTTTGCGCAAACTGAGAGGAAGCTACAGTTTCGAAAAAGACCCCGAGAACCGCTGTATCGGTCGAGTAAACGGCATCAGTGCGTGAGAGGCGAACGTAAACCTCTTAATCCCAGCGCACCGGTGAGTTAGTGATGCTAGAAATGTAGGGAGTTTGATTAACAACCCAACAGCCAATAGAAAATGAGGTAGCCTTGTTTTCTATCGGCTGATGTTTATCTGGCCTCAACACGTCCACAGTTGATGGATTTTCATTCTTTTTTTTTTGGTCATCATAATTACGAGGCTGCTGCGTCTCTGTAACGGTATTTTAAACTTTCACTGACATTTTGAAACAAGTAAAAAAAATCCTCCATACAACCTTTAAACGAGGCAATGGACTGATCCTTTTTAACATGCAAAGCTCTTGAAACACATTTAACACTTTTTTCACCCTCATTTTCTCCCATTATTTGTTTTAATCACCAAAGCAAGTTGCAAATCTTCACAACTGATGTAACCTTGAAAGATGGATTCTCGTGATATTTCTTAGTTCACAAACTCATATTTGGAATTCATGTTGAAATACTCCCACTGTAAGCTTCAAATGCACCCGGCAAGGGCAACGAATCGCAGATCAGCACAGAGGTTTGCGCGGCAGGAAAAGGTGAAGCTCCCAAATGAACCAAGACAAACATGAAATAAACCGACAGATGTACTTCAGCCTATTTTAGAAAATTGAAAAACGTGCAGAAGGTCACACTTTGTGGACAGAGAAAGAGGTCTGTGCTTTTCTCTAAACTACATGTAACAAACTATTTTGACATTTTCAATTCTTCAAAAATATTGTCCATCTCTGCCTCGCATAAATACTGATCATGGTAAGGATGAGTAACACGTCTTGCCCAAGGACACAATGTACAGAATCTCTGGTTTTAGCTTCTCCAAAGTTTTAAAATGGTTCAAAATAAGCAGCATAGAAATAGGAAAATGTCAGTTTCTTATTTTTTAGGTTTATGAAAATGTGTTTCTTTTTAGTTAGTTTTGTTTCTTTCAAATATATCAATAATTCTAGTTTTAAAAGTTCTTCATCAAATTTTATATAAATGTCCTTTAGGGATATTTGTCGCCCTCTACAGGCAACAGTAAGGAATGCAGCATGTTGAAATGGTGAATTAGCAGCACAGCAAAAACATTTTAAGTTATTGGAGTTATTTAAAGGTGCATTGTGTAACTTTTCTGGTGGAGGGTCAGTCAAATGCTTTTCTCCATGGAGATCTTTTGCTTTGTCTGGAATGTTTCACAGTATTATGGTATTATAAACTTTTCTATCTTCATGGAGACCAAACTAGACCAAGTTACAGGTCAGCTCTGTGGAGAGGCGACCCCACTCAAAGTCCGAATGCCTGTTTTTCTAGGTATTTTTGAGCTGTAACCAATGTTGGGGAGTAACAGATTACATGTACCGGAGTTATGTAATCAGAGTACAAATTATGAGTAACTGTATTCAGTTACAGTTACTGTTTCAGTGAGTGGTAATTGGATTACAGTTACTTGGTTGAAATAAATGGATTACATGATGGTATTTTCCTGTTTTTACATTTTGGGGTAAACAAGGTCTAAACCAGGACTAAACTAGAACTAAACCAGGGCTAAACCAGGACTAAACCAGGACTAAACCAGATCTAAACCAGGGCTAAACCAGGACTAAACCAGGGCTAAACCAGGGCTAAACCATTGCTAAACCAGGACTAAATCAGGTCTAAAACAGGACTAAAACAGGACTAAACCAGGTCTAAACCAGGTCTAAAACAGGATTTAACAGGACTAAACCAGGACTAAACCAGATCTAAACTAGGTCTAAACCAGGACTTAAACAGGACTAAACCAGGTTGAAAACAGGATTTAACAGGACTGAACCATGCTGCGTGGACCGTGTCTCCTCTTCTATCAATAATATTTTTAATATCTTTAAGTAAAGTCTGGTCTTTTTATTTTCTTTTAGCAGATAAAACATCTTGTTACGATTTCCTCGTCTTTGTTTCTCTACAGCAAATCAAGTAATCCAAAGTATTCAGATTACATTACTCACTTTAAGTAATTTAATGAATTACATTACAAACTACATTTTGGGGTGTGTAATCTGTAATCTGTAGGGGATTACATTTTAAACACTGCCTGTAAATGAAGACAGTGAGGAAAATAAGTATTTGAACTCGCTGCTATTTTGCAAGTTCTCCAGAAATCATGGAGGAGTCTGAAATTTTCATCGTAGGTGCATGTCCACTGTGAGAGACATAATCTAAAAAGAAAAATCCAGAAATCACAATGTATGATTTTTTTTACTATTTATTTGTATAATACAGCTGCAAATAAATATTTGAACACCTGTCTATCAGCTAGAATTCTGACCCTCAAGGATCTGTTCAAAGTCCACTCCATTTATTCTCCTAAATCACATGGACCTGTTTGAGGTGGTTAGCTGCATAAAGACCCCTGTCCACCTCATACGATCAGTAAAACTCCAGCTACTAACATGGCCAAGACCAAAGAGCTGTCCAAAGACACCACAGAGCTGCGGGGAAACTGCCAGGCAGCTTGGTGAAAAAAGGTCCACTGTTGGAGCAATCATGATTTCTAAGTGGGAGAACTTGCACAATAGCAGGGTGTTCAAATACTTATTTTCCTCGCTGTAAATGTAAGGCAGAGATGTTGTCATGTCCACAGAAACAAGCAGGTGATGAACCCCCCACCAGAAAAGTAACACAATGCACCGTTCACAGTAAAACAACTCAACAAGTGCTTTCTTTGTCTCATTGTGCAGGGACAGAAAATCACTCCAATCCGTCAGCCGGTCTACGCAAATTTCCTGTAACTGTGCTAGACAAGTCTGATTACATAACAAACACACATTGAAAATCATAAATTCTACTTTACATTTGTTGGCAGATGTTGAACCAGCAGTGAGTACTTCTCTGATTAATTTAGATTAACGCCGTAAACGCCACCGCCATAAACTATTCTCCTAATCATCTGTCAGCACTCTGTTACTCTGTGGGGATTTCAATGGGCTGGAGCCAATTATAAATCCACTCTTACTCCGGCTCTGCTCCTTTAGAAACCTCTCCTAACATTACATTTAAATTCTGAGCAAATACTGTAGTTTACTCGGAATATTAATGACTTGTTAAACGAAAACACTCAAATATAACACACGTAAAATTGACTTGGTTAGACAGGAATAAGTCCTGCCCCCTGAATCGTCATACAAGGTTAATTTTCTCATGGAGTTGGAAAATGTGTGGTACAGATAAATATGTCTTTGATGCCCTATCTTCAGTCCAGCAGGCTGGAGTGGACAAAATAGCTTGGTTTGAAAATGTGATTGGAAAACTGGTAGTGCAGTGGATCCTCGTAACTACGCACAAAGGTGGATTTTTACTTATTTCTACCAAGGTTACCAGATAAAATGTTAAAGAAGACACACTGTGCTTGTGTCGGCTTTTTAGCTATAATCTAAGACACCCGTGGATAGTTATGTTATGTTTTGCACATTTTATATCGCAGTATTCATCTAAAATGCCTTAATAAAAGAAACAAATGAGCTGAATTTTGTGTTAGAAAAGTGCAGTGTCCAATAGAGCTCCGGGAGCTGACGTCATACCGGCTCGTCAGGCACAAGGTGTCGCCATTTTGGCAGTAATCGGCAGATCGGCTGACTCGCGCTGTACGACTCCAGCGCAATAACAGATTGTTCTCCAGACGCAGCTGCGATTAATTTCCGAATTATTTTGCCAACAATTTTCCAATACAGATAATGTAATACACAAAGATCAGAGCAAGAACCAATGTGTGAACGTGTGGCTCCAAAGTAGCAAACAGCATTTGTTATTTTAGGCTTATAATTAACCAAATAATTTTATGGAAATAGGCAATAGCTTATTCAATTGATTCAACTTTAAAAATGTCCTGCTTTTAGCCTAGTGTGAGAAATGCTACAGTCGGACTAGATCCAAACCAGAGTCCTGAACCAGCGGGAGAAGCTCCGGTTCAGGCCGGGCTCAGAGGAGCTACAGCGGGGAGTGGTGTCAGGAGCCTTGGCCTGACAAGAACGTTCCCCAGGAACAAAGAGCGCGGAGGTCGGACGCTCAGAACAACATATAACCCACCAAACTATTCACGCTTCTGTCCGGATGCTTTGCATCACCTCGGAACCAGCCGCAGTTCTTGACCGCCGGAGCGAACTGTCCAGACCTGTAGTCCACAGTGCATTCTCGCTTTTTCCCGCACGGAACCAGCGTGCAGACGATGACACGGAACAGCTCAGACCCAGTCCATCAAGCACTGGTCTTGCTCGCTACCGTCTGGAACCAGCACATGGAGGACGGAGCCTCCGGACCAAGGACCAGACCGCAGACCCCGTCCTGAGGGATCTGAGCTGCGGTGAGGGCTCCTCTTTATCGCTGTTGCTGCTGCTGTTACCCGTGCTTTTGTGTTTTACGAGTTCATGATGACTCTTGAGATGAGGATGTCCCGTGGTCTTAACAGGGAACATCTGTGTTGATAATTGGAGGTATTGCTGTTCTACCAGGAAACAGAGGCATGTCAATCGGACCAATTTTGGTTCATTTGGCGATGTACTGCGGATCTGGGACGTCTTCTTCAGCGGAAATATTTTTAAAAAACACCCCCGGGGCATTATACGGTCAATGTTTAATCCATTTAATTTTGATCTGAAGCT